GGAGCACATATCGTGGTAGGGGTAAACAATAGTTGCAATTTCCAAACCTACGACTGGATGCCTTCCTTCAAATAACAATTGAAGTGCGGTAAAAATCGGTAGAACTGTTTCAAACACACAGTTGGTACTTGAACGGGTCGGTTTTCATCTCTTTTTGCCAGTGGTGGCGGGGGGGGGGGGACACCCCTCACCATCCCTCTCCAAAGGGGGAGTTTGGTAAAGAGAGATGAAAAAACCGATTTGTACCTTCCTTAAAAGTTGTCCTAGTTCGCTATTCTAATATCTATATACAATCTTCACACTGCCGTACTCTAACGGAACTATCAACTCTATGCTTTCATCTACTCCATCTATCGTATAAAAATTACCACTACAGTCTGTTATTTGAAATTAGCATCTTCAACTATGTAAATCGTTGACTTCACGTAGAAGTAATACTAAAAACATATAGTCAAAAAAAAAAAAAAAATAAAATTAATTGTTGAAAAAACTGTCCAACTAACCATGTCAGTTTATATTAACCAATCTTACACACAGACTATCGATCCGATACACAGAGTGCCCAATGTCCATTCAGCATCGAGAGATCAAAAAATGTGTATGTATGCAACAAAAAAAAAATCTAGGACGTGTTTCTCGGCAACCACTGAACGGAATTTGGCACAACAACCATCCAATTTTAGATTTCATGTTTCCATAGATTTTCAAATATTTTTGGAATCGGTAAACTGTTTCCGGTACAAGATTCGAAAAAAAACATGGATTTAGGGAACTAAGTCGAGTTTCGTGCGAGAAATGCATAATGAGCCCTTTTCATATGAAATTCTCGATTAATCAAAATGACAGACAAAGTTGAATCACAAATCGAGCTTCATTGGGTTCGGGGATGATTTTGAGCTTCACTGGTTTAGTTTTGTGTGAAAATGGTACGTTAAAAAAATCAGGTCAGATATGAAAAAGTTTTTGTAAGAAAAACCGTTTTTCCTTAAAAGTGCCCATCTCACAATGTATGGACGGATGGTAGTAAACATGATTACCTATCTTGAGGCAAAGTTTCATCAAAATCAAACATGGACATTTTTTAAATCGACTTTAAATTTTTAAAATCGATTTTTTTCAGTGTAGGTCTCAAATGGAATTTTTTTCGAAAACTTGTACAATTTCCTAAAAGTCATCCATACAACACATTTTTGTACGAGTTGTAATTTTTCCATGATATTTTTTTGAAAAAAATCGTCAGAAAAAGTTTGGCCCTTCTTAAATGTTGGTCTAGATAAATTTTGGAAAATTGAGTATGGAAAAGTGCTTATTTAGTCAAAGTCTACACATTCAGAAAATTTCATTGAAATCTGAGAGGGTGTTGCCAGCTTTGATTAGATTTGACGCGAAATGCGTCATTTACAGAAAGGAATAAAAAATCTCATATCAATTGAGTCAATTTCCATCCTGGGATTTCCAATTCACGGGGAATAAATTTTTAATTTGTGTTGTGACTCAATTTTACTCCTTTAAAGTAATTCTTGGCATATTTGATTGTGAAATCCCTATGATAGACTATCCCTATGTAGTGTCCTATGGATTCCCTTCTTCTCTAGAGTCCTTTTTCTTGGATTGCTTTCTCGTTCCAGTTTGGCCAGTGGAATCTTGTTAAATCCCTACTTCTACTAGAGGAACTAACGTCCATACTTGATTTATATGATGACTTCTGTCGATCTCCCTTTCCCAATCAAAATGTCTTACATTAACAGATATGCATTATCATTAACAATTGCAATATATGGGGGTGCCTACCCGTGCAAAGTCCAGCATCGAAATGACAGTGAATCGAAATCAAATTTTGATATCAACATTAAACTGAAATCATAATTTGATTTCAGTCTACGCGATTGACAATTTTGATAACAAATTTTATTTTCATTTCGCTATACATTTGCTCTTCAAAAATGCGTTGTTGTGGGTTTGTTATCAACAGGAAAAATGGACATCAAATTGAGTTTTAAGTTTTCTCTCACAGTCAGCAGAAATAGTTTTCAATGTGATGTCACAGGAAGATTTTTTTTGCTCTCAATTTTTAATTTTAACCGTTAAAACGACCAAAACGACAGCAACCTGAGCAACCATTATCAGCAACATCACAACATCAAATTCAGTTTACAATTTCATCTCAGACTTTGCTCCGAGGGTGCTTAGGGCCTCTAGAATGTTTTAGGCTCCTTTCAGATTTTTTTTTGAGATTCTAATACCGACAATTTGAATTATATAATTCATCAAAAATTCTGAAGGGAGCCTAAATTATTCTGGAGGGGCCGGGCACCCTACCCGACCAAAATCCAGCATCAAAATGACAGCAAATCGAAGTCAAGTTTTGATATCAACATCAAACTGAAATCCAAATTTGATTTCAGTTTATGCAATTGACAAATTTGATGCCAAATTTTGTTTTCATTTTGCTGTACATTTGCTCTTCAAAAATGCGGGTTTGTTTTCATTGCCTTAGCATAACATCAAATTGAATACTTGTTTTGCTATCAACAGAAAAAATGATGTCACAGGAGGATTTTTTTGCTCTAAATTTTGATATTTTAACCATTAAAACGACCAAAACGACAGCAACCTGAGTAATCATTGTCAGCAAAATCACAACATCAAATATAGTTTTTCAAAAGTGATCTCAGACTTTGCTCGGGTAGCCTTCCCTTTTCAATGACTATGATAATGACTATTCATCAATGTCTGATAAAATAATTGCAGAAATTTTTCAATTGAAATCATTCTTCGAATCAAAAAATCCAATCTGCAGCAAAAGGACTGAATTCATTTCATTATATAAATTAACATTAAATTTATAAGCACACAAATAGGGGAAAGTGGGGCAGTTTGGGTACCTTAAGAAAATAATCACTAATTATATCAGATTCAGTGAAAAATTCGAATGATTTTTAAACAAATGGATAGTTTCAAGCCCTCTTTACTTCACGAATACAAATTGAATATTAAAAATAAACTTTTGAATCTTATGAAAGAGTATTTGAAACAAATGTAACTGAAATAAAATCGTTGGGGGTGAAATGAGCACCCTATCGGGGTGGTATGAGTCTTTTGAAAGGTCAACAATGAACAGTTTTAGCATAAAAAGATTAAAAAAAAAACGATTATTTTATGTAGAATAAATCAAATTCATCATGTACTGCCTATTTAAGGCAATATTTTGTCCAATCTTGTGAATAACTGACATTTTACCAAAACAGCTGCTTCAGAACTTGATTTTATATGATAGAGTTATATTTATAAAAGGAATAATGCAAAATTGAATAATTTAGGTAAATATTGTTTGAAATATCAGTGGTGCTCATATTACCCCGAATGGACTTCAGTAATATTTTGTTAAAAAAAACTTTAATGTTCATTGAAAACAAGAAAAATATCATGTCATATAAGAAACCAATGACTATTTATATAGCTGATGAAGGCATATTACCGATAAGTTATAAGAAACTAGTGCTATACATTATTTTCTGATTCAAAAATCAAATATCATTTTTGGCATTTTGAGCTAGTATAACATTTTTTGAATATTTGCACTAGAGAAAGGTAACTTTTTAAACTAAAGTTAAATGAATTGTTCAAGTAGGCTTCAAGCATTAAGCCTGTAACAGATTTTTTTGTAAATTATGTCCAATTAGTTTATTTTAAGCGGGTGGCCACTAGACTGGCCCACATTTAAATGGGGGAAAATTTTGTTACTTTTTTCAATGAGGCAACCCTTAGATTAGTGCCATTAGGTGAGATAACCACCCTCTGAAAATTTCAGCTTATTTGGATGTAACACGAGATGGCACTTTTGATTTAAAATTTATGTGGGGATATTTGTTGAAATGAATGGAGAAATAGTATTCCATCACTCTTTCGTGCATAGAACTGGTTCAGCGAACTCGAATAAGCTCAGAATTTCAGCACTCGTAGCCTGAACTATAAGGAACAACTTTGCTCAAAACAGCATCACGATTCAAGTTAGTATTATGAACATATTAATTAATTATGTGCTATCTGCTCGTATATTGCAAGAAATACATGCAGCTTATGCAACGTATTAACTAGATTACCACTAAAAATGAAATTCATATTCTACAGGCTCGTGTCTTTTGATGCGATAACCACTCTCTGAATGTTTCAGTTTTTTTACGTTTCACGGGCTGACACTTTTGGTTTAATGTTAATATAGCAGATTTGGTTGAAACTTTCATATACAAAATGCTCATTTATATTCAAAAGCGAATATCTCAAGAAAACTAACTGGATTCATGATGAAATCTTCAGCAAAACTGTTACTCATTAATTGACCTACAAATTTTGAAAATTTGAATCAAATTGATAATAAGGAACCTTATTATGATCGATAGAGTATTTTATCCAAAATCCCCATACAAAATTCAAAATAAAAGCGCAAGCTCATCCTACAACCAAATGAGCTGAAACTTTCAGAGAATGGTTTTCTCACCTAAAGGTCCTTGGAAAGTTAGAACTTTTATTTTTGTGAGTCAGTCTAGTGGTCACATTGCCCCATTGGCGAAATTGCCCCACTTTCCCCTACATTCCAGAAAATCGATGAAAAAATAATCTGGAACTAGCGGTTATCATTTTAGGTAAACTTTATTCACTTACCCAGAAATCAAATTAATATTTCTCGAATACCGGGATGCTGCAAACCCCCGGGAAATGGAAGCTCTAAATTTTACATTAATCGGAATATCACTTAACTTCAAAATATTCCTCAGCATCATTGATAAAAGTCGCAATTTGCCATCTCATGTTGATAAACCAAAAATATAACACTGAAATTGTGAAATTATTTCATCGACCGTGACATAGCGACCCATCCAAAGATAGCGCATATCTGCACTGCCCGCATTCCTGGTCAAAGTTATACCTCCGACAGCGGCATGGCATTTATGTTGACGGAAAATCGCTTCTGATTGCTGCTAACCGATGTGAATTAATCATTCTAAATTGACTTACCTGTTGGGAAGAACGTTGACCAGCAGATGGAAGCAGAGGGAGATAACGAGTGCTCCGATGATCTGTGGATGTCATGTGGAAGTGGTGGAAGCATACATCCATCGATACGTTGATCCATAGGAAGATCCGTAGCAGCAGCCGCAGTGATTAGTGCGCAGGAGATGATATAGCGAATAGATGTAGGTTAGCAACAGAGAAGCACGATTAGTGAATTATGAACCCATTCTGGGTTGGACATTTAACGAGATAAATGATTTATGGGTGGCAGTATAGAGAAAATAAATAATGTTCAGGGTAAGGTTTTGATTGGAAACTGTTCGAACGAAGTGCACCTTGAGTAATGCATTGATAATTATTGTGGTTTGTCCAGAATGTAATGATATTTTTTTTTATAAACGTGACTTAGTACATACATTGAAAGTATTCAACAACCCGTCCATCAGGAGTCTAATTTTTCAACCAGGATATGTTAGTAGGTATATTGCCGATACTTACTTGTTCTGATTTATGCACAATTTGTGCACTATTCACACCATGCTGCATTGCGGCCGGATGCTCTCCCTTGATGACGTGAACCACAACACTGGCGGAATCTACAGTAAAATGGATGAGAAACAAACACTGCTTAATCCATTGGTCCATATTTGAGGGGGTTAGAAAGAAAGGGGCTTTCTCTTTTGATAGCGACAGCTTTATAAACAGATTTTGGGCAACGTAAATTAATAATTTACACATAAACTTATTTAGAAATGAATCTTATTTGACCATTGGTAATGGGTTGTATTATTAGAATTAGCAGAAAATCCAGAAATTATACAAATATGATTAGTCCTGACTGAAATACTAGCAGTTCAAAGCTTTGAAGTTTTCGAGCGAGCTATTAAATTGCTAAAGTTTCATTATTACGCACGAGCGATACTGGATCTGTCGCAGGTACAGGTAGGGAGCATCACTCTCCAAATTAAAGCATTGTTCGTTGTGATTATTTGCGTTACGGTCGCATGCCCTCTGCTCTGCCGCTTTTAAAGGAGAAATTCGAAAAACTTATTCGTTTTGCCTCAATTTGGCACGTACGGAACGTACTTCCAGATTACTTAAAATGGTTTGGTTTTAGAGAGTGTGCATGTGTTTGGATCGAATGCGCATTTTCTCAGTCGGTTTCAGTGCAGCAGATTGGTAACGTGGCGTGGGTACACAGGCATCGGAAGGGTTCACACATACGTAAAGTGTGATGCATTTGCTGAACTGCGGGCAGCAGCACCATGCAGAAGAACGAAACCTACTAGAACGGCTAAAGAGGCGATAAATCGGCGTCCATTTGGTGAACCATTCGGAATGGTTCCCTCCGGTGTACGTGAGTCGGGACAGCTCCATGTGACTCAGCCAGCCTTGACGTAGATGGTAGGTAGGTGGGTAATCGGTCTCTTTTGCAGCTAAAGGCTGGTCATCTCAGACGTGCAGCATCAGCACTGCTTGTCTACATAGATACTTACGTATGAAGTGTGCTAGGTATGTGAATCGGAGCGTTAGGTGAGCTCTCAACTCGGTGTCAATGAAGCCCCACGTGAGGGGAAAGTTTGTGCCAGTGTTTGTATTCCCCTGGTACTAGTGTAAATCGCACTTAATGTGTGCATAAAATTCTAAAATGAACCGTAATTTATTTTAAACATGACCAAGCATGTACGAGCTGTTGGATGGGCAGTAAGTGTGCCAACTTAGAGACCATGCTGGCTCGGCCTGGAGTGAACGTGGGACTGTTTGCATCTAAACGTCTACCGGTACGACTAGCTTACACGTAGGTGTCGGGATAAACCGCACTGGTGTGAAGTGAAATGAAGTTATTGAGCAGAAAACATTTATTCACATGGTAGATACAGGGTTGAAACAGGCCTGTATAGGAAGAGTTGGTTCATAATAATTTATTAAATAGATGCGGTCGTCCACCCTGACGTCCATCGTCTTATATAACATAGAAATCAAATCATTGCGTATTTAAACACTCTTTGAAAAGTTACAACCAAAGTATCATCCAAAACAACTAAAACCGAAATATGATAACATTGTCTCTGGCAAACATTAATTTGAGCTGGTTAAACAATGTACTACCCATAGATAGGTCACAAGAATTCATATAACCTGGTCATTCGTTTTTAATAGATTATGCATAATGCATCTGATTTTAAATTACTGTTGAGAATTTTAATGTAAAGGTCAAATTCAGTTATAAATCGAAAAAAGTAAATTTCTGTTACATATGATGTACATTAGCGTGGTTCATTTAAAAAAAAATGAATAATTTCCCATAGGCTGCACATTTAGAAATACCTAATCTTACACGTGACGGAATTCATTTTTGACATAAAAGGATGACACGTAAACAAACATGGCATCTAAAATTAAGTGCTCCGAGATTGAAAAGTTCGAAAGTACGTTTGATTGAGCTGAATTTCGCGTCTATTATGACTCAATTTTATGTCAAAATTGACGCTTCTATATGTCAGTCTCAGAACACCTAAATTTACATGAATTTTTCTAAGTGTGTGATTCATAAACCCAAAATATGAACGTGTGCAAAAAACGGTAAAGATTTATGAAGGTTTAGGATGGCCAGATGATTTGAAGTTTGTTTGGAGATTTCAGTGAATAAGTTTTGGTTACATTGCTCTAACTTTAGTTGTAGTTGTTCAAACGTTGACAAAAATGTGCATGTTTTTGCCAACAAGCTTGTTATTGTTGTGATGAAATTGGCTTTTTTGACATTCATCTGTCAATGTACCCTATTATTTTTTCTTTGAAATTCTTCCATAGTAATTCGCATACACATTTCAAATTATTTGCGCGACCTCTACAACTACACCAATTTTTACCATTTTTTACTCAGGTTCATATTGTGGGGCAATGATACGGACTGGAAGGTGGCCTATCAGAAATTCATCACTTTTTTCATAATTAATGTTTACATTATAGATCATGTACAGTTATGAGGCATTTCATGGAATAATTAAATTATTACATGCAATTTCTTCATCTTTTTCAGCAACATTTCTTACATGTTGGTAGTTTGCGTAAAAAAATACTAGATTACACACGCATGCATGTTTAAATTGTCAGTAATATTCAGATTTTTTTACAGTGATAGTTTTAATTTGATAGCTAGCGATTGCTTCGTGATTCAAAGTATTGAAAGTTGGTGATAGTTTCTATGAAATTTCAAGGTTTGGTGTTCTTCAATCCATTTTCCACATTCTGGGCAAGGTTTTTTTTTTTAATTCTTGGTCCAAATTTTGCAATGCATATCAGTGGGTGAGCTAGAAATTTTTATCATTGTTTTGTTTTTCACATTATTTTACGGGTAGTTTGTTGGGCTGGTTCACCTCTGCATAATTTTACGGATTTGAAGTCTTTTAGTTCATAGTTCATATCAATAGTAAATGGCACTTCTATCAAAGCGAGTGTCACGTCAACACATTCCTAACCATGTTCGGGCGTGGCCGGCGCTGGTATTGCCTAATTTGAGATCACCAGTTTTTACACATTGAGGAAGATTGCTAGTCCCAAGAATCGTCTATTGGTTCTCTGTGTAATTACAGATGATCTGGAAATAACAGAGTAGCAACCGTGGGCGGTCAATCAAGCTCAAGCTCAAGCAAGCTCATATCAATAGTTAATGGCTATGCACAGTGGTCTAGTGAGAATTAGGAAGACAAAAGTCCTAGTGCATTTATCCTAATTTTTAGAGGTGCGTTTTCAGCTTAAAAGCTCCTTCTGTTACCCGTTTTCAAAATTAGGGTGGACCTCAAATTATTTTTCTGAAAAAATTAACTTTTATATTTTTGAAAATAAAAACGCATGTTTTTCAGAAAAGTTGTACCTGAGATGATTTCAAGCTACTTTGTCGAATAAAGATTTTTTCAATCTTTACCGTTTTCACTATAGAGCAATTTTTCTGAATTTTTTTTGAGTGTTTTTAAAATTTTAGAGCAACTTGAGAAATGATAAAGAAATAAAACTTCTTCTGCAATGTAGCTTCACCCAACCAGGGGATGTAAGATTTGCTTACAATTATGTAGGATTCATCATCGTGGGATGGTTGTGGAGACCGCATGAGGGAAGGATAACATGTACCTTGCTGCGGTCCAATGCAAAAAAATGGAGAAAGAAAAATGTGGAGTGTATTAGTGTGTGAAATGAATCATGTCGAAAAAAAATAGAAAATAGTTTGCCAACTGTACTCGAACGACAAATGTTACAACTATGAGACCTGTGCATTCTCCACTGCTCTCGCCATGCTTCGGAATATGCATAGGTTAAAATCAAATAAGAAGACATAATTTATCTAAATCACGTGACAAGCTGAATTCCCTTTCTAGACCACTGTGCATTGCCTTTATAAAATTTTTATTCGCTCAACCTAAATGAACATGCCTAGTTGAATTATATAATTCACCTGAATGGACGTAGCCATGCTGCTCCCAGATTTCTAGGCATATAAAACTCTATTAAAATGCAAATTAATTCCTTCACTGCAATTGCTGCAGTAGGGTATGATGAGGTAATACGCATCATGGGGTAAAATAACCAACAGCATCTATTTATGTTTTTCAAAACCAATTCAAAGGTTTCTCTCGCAGAATTACTCGATGAGCTGCTGAACAGCTAATCATATCAACTAAACGTTAAACATGATAACCATTGATTTATTTTTTAGGTTCTCATGTGATTTGTTACATGATGGTTTTAACACGACTTATTGACTCATGACCAAAAATATCTCAAAATGACAAAATGACAAGCGATCAACTAGCCGAACGATAACGCTATGTCAGAAATGGAAAGCAATAATGATATAATCTTCTTCCCATTTTGTCATAAAAAACTGCCTTTGGAATATAGCTCGCTCATGCCGGTAGAAGGAAACGACCAACTAGTTGGCAAGCTGCTTCGCGAAGTAAAGCCGAAGATGATACACGTATGTTAATGGGAACCTGGGAACCAAACCTGAGTAAAATAAACTTAAAAATTTCATAAGGCTCGACTTATGAACAACACATATGAATTCCATAAGTCTGACTGACTTATGAATGATTTTCGGGTAACATGAGGTAGCACTTATTCGCCTTTAACCATTCCATTTGTTCCAAGCGTTGCAAGACGAGTGGTCAACATACGGGCGCCATAAGCTCAACGTCCATGGTTCGGTTCCAGTCTGGTCCGATATATTATTTGTTTGTCAACATTATTTTTCATAAGGCAATTTAATGAAGTTCATACTGATTTCTTGAGGCTAAAATTCATAAGTGTCTCTTATAGAATTCTTACGTTCTTTTGCCTGCGTGTATGTCTTTCTAGCTTCCGATCAAGCTATGTCCCCAACCGTGTACAGTCACCCTAGTATTATGGGCCAACTAATCTGTAATATGGGTCTGTCAGTTCTGCGTGTTGATCAAATGGAAGTGGCCCATTATAGTGGGTGACCCATAATACTCCATTAGGGCCATCCTACCAAAAAGCTGATCGGAAGAACACCGGTAGTCATCGGAGGAGACTTCAATGCTTGGGCAGTGGAGTGGGGAAGCAGATGTTCCAATGCAAG